AAAAACCCTAAACCCCCAAAAACCTAAACCCTAAACCTTTCACCCCTGAGTCCTAACCTTCAGCTAAGAGGCCTCCTGGACCGCTGGGGTCGAGGACTCTTCGGCAGCACTCTGAGGATCAGCCTTTAAAGGCGAAATTATAGAGGGGATATACAGGGGATGTATGGGGAATATATAAGGGATAGATGGGGGATATAGAAGTATATGAGGGATATATAGGGTTTAGGGATTAGGGTTTAGGGTTTAGGGTTTAGCCTCCTGCAGAGCTAGGCGAGTGGATTTTTCCTGGTGGTTGAGCTGATCAGCCTACCCTCAAGCCTCAAACTCTAGGGCAGTTTAGGGTTTAGGGCTTTGGGTTTTTGGGGCTTAAGTTTTAGGTTCGGTGTGTTAGGGTGGGGTTTGTTTTGGTGGCTAACCCTACAAGGCTCCCTCATTTAATGCCCTACATAACCCCTATAAGGAGTTTAGGGTATAGCTCATATGAAATTTGTGCTTAGGAGTGAAGGTTTGGCATTCAGGGCTTGGGGTTAAGGGCTCAAGTTTACGGATTCAGGGGTTGAGGATTTGTGTTGTTGAGGAGTTTGGGAATGACAGTTCGGGGTTGAAGGTTTGGGGCTTAGGGTTCGGGCGTATTTGGGTTCAGGTTTTGGTGTTTAAGGCTCCGGGTTTGGGATTTGGGGTCAGGTGTTGATGTTTGGGGTTTGGTTCTACGGTTTGGGTGCTCGAGTTGAGGATTTAGGGTTGGGATTCATAGGGTTCTGGATTTAGGATTTAGGATCTGTAGGGATATGGTCTGTAGGGCTTCAGCTACAGGTTTAGGGGGGTGGGTTCCGGGATTAAACCGATGGTGATCAGATGGTGATCAAAAGCGTCCAGGGGACCTACGTAGGCTTTTTTGAGGGATGCTTTAAAAAAGTTGCTAAGGTGTGCATCGCCGTGTGCAGATACACCAAAGTTCATTGCGTGGCTTTTCTCGTGTGAAGACACGAAAGACACCCTTGGTGGCATTTTACGAGGCACAAGGTTTATGAAGTAGTTCCACAAGCAACGGGGCCTCAACATAAACCACAATACAATACAATCCTTAGTGCGGGGAGCTCCGAAAGTACCCCTAATTTCGGGAAAACACATGCATACCAGTAATTATAAGAAGCTGGAATCTTACCTTGTCCTAACTTCTAACTTCAATTTTTCTACCTAGGCAACCACTATGCAATCCCAGGGTCCATTTTCCATGTTCTGTTACATGTGCTTCTCCATTATGGTCAAAAGCCTCCTATATAATCCAACAACCCGTTGGGCTGAAGGTTCATAAGCCCTAAACCCTAAAACCTCATAGTCGTGTATTAAGCTTCGCTCTCACTCCCTAAACACTGGCTGACCATCAGACTTAAACCCTGAACCCTAAACCCTAAACCCTAAACCCTAAACTCTAAAGCTAGACCCTAAACCCTAAACCCTTTCCAAGGAAAGTAGCATGCCTCGAGCTGCTTGGGCTCCAGAGGCAGGGCGGATTCCTATCAAGAGATCACAGGGTTTAGGGTTTAGGCTTTAGGGCTTAGGGTTTAGGATTTTTAGGGTTTAGGGTTTTGGGGGTTTAGGGTAGGGCTTAGGGTTTAGGATTTTTAGGGTTTAGGGTTTTGGGGGTTCAGGGTAGGGATAAGGGTTTAGGATTTTTAGGGTTTAGGGTTGCCTGGGTTGCTGTTAAGGAACTTATCTTAAGTTACTATACTTGGGGAACGGTATCAATTAGAGTACTATGAAAAAATATATATATATATACCCGTTATGGTAACTAATGTAGGTTCCTTAAATCCTAGATTACCCCAGTTCTCATTTGATTTTGCATTGTCTGTTCCATTTGATCCTCCAAGACAGGGGGATACTATAGCTTAATTTCGGTTTATTAACAGCAAACCAGTTGTTTGGAAGTTTCATTTCATCGTGTACCGTGGCAGAGATTCTGAACTTAGGGCTCCGGTTCTAGGATTGCAGTCTTCGGGTCTGAGGATCTGGTCCCAGGTTTCATGAGGGTTTCAGCTTTAAGGTTTCAGATGTCGGGCTTTGGATTTTAGGGCTTTTGGGCTTTAAGGTTTTGAGGGTTTTAGGGTTTTAGTTTTAGTGTCCGGCCGGGACTTGGGGTTCAGGGTCGTATTTTGGGTGCGGAATAAAGGCTCAGTAGTTTGTCAACTACCTAGTACTCGCACAGAACAAGGATATGCGTACCTGTCGAGGTCTGCGTAGAGACTGGCCGAATACATAAAAAGTTCCTCGAAGTGAAACAGCGCCCGTTTGAAGCTTAACCCACATCACCCCTATAAATCACTATACAATCTCAACGTCTGTTTCATTTTCGATTTCATTCTACAGTTGATTCTCCATTACCCCTATATACCCTATATAACCACTTAGTTAGTAGCTCAACTTGAAATTTGCACAAGCGTATTGCCTTCAAAAGATCGGATGAATAATCCACCCCATTCCACATTGCCAGTATGTAAGAGGAAAAGGCGGAAAACCAGCATTTGAACTCGCAGCACGCGGTTTAGGGTTTAGAGGTATTCGGACAACAAGGTCCCCTTGTGATGTTTGGCGCATGTGGCAGATCCTCATTGCACAGATAAGAAATATTCAGTGCATTCTCCAACTGCTGTGCGCCCTGGAAAGTCGCTTTGCATTTCCTTTCAAGCATGATTAATTAGACGGCAAGGGGCAGCAATGCAGAACAACTGCTGTCGATTAGGGGTCCTCAGGAAGTTGTTTTGAGAAACTCCCGGATACTCAGCGAATTTTTGTTCCAAGGATCCGGAGTACACTTCTGCCTATGTTTAAGGCTAAACCCACAGGAAGACCGCAACAATCAAAAGGGACCCCATGCGTCCTCGACAATCCCGATAACCCATGCAATCCCAAACATTCCATACTATCTAGACTGTGCCCAAGATGTCCTAAAGACCTAGAAACCTAAGCCCGACACCCCATAACCTAAACTTATCTAAACTTCATATTGCGGAAGAGGACGAGACCGCTTTCCTATGTAGGCATATCGCGAACCAGTAGCATCATTTCAGCCATGGGCTGCTACCTGGTTCTAACGTTTTTCCTTACTTAGCACACCCCCCAACCGCTCCTCCGCCCCCCTCCCCGCCTCCTCCTTCATATCACGAACCAGTAGCATCATTTCAGCCATGGGATACTACCTGGTTCTAACGTTTTTCCTTACTTAGCACACCCCTCAACCCCTCCTCCGCCCCCCTCCCCGTCTCCTCCTTCACTGGTGCTGCTCCCGCTGGTGTTGGAGACTCGGGCACTTCCTGCATTGACGGCTTATCGGGTCAGGAATTGGGGGGGAAGGGGGCGACAATTGGGGGTCTCCACAATTAGGATTATTGTGTCTGAGGGGAAAAATGAAGGGCAGGCCTTTTCTTGGAAAAAAAGGTTAATGAGGGCCCTTAGCACTGGAGTAGCAGGCTTGTGGACCCAGGGCTTAGGTTCTCGAATTCAAAATTGACGTACTGGTGTTCAAGGGAGCGTGGGGGAGTGGATCCTCAAAATAATCTTTATATCATCCTCATATATACCCCTATACTGATACCTATTTTCACGACCCTAAACCCTAAACCCTAAACCCAAGGGTTCCTGGCTTCCGAGGTCAGGCATCTTTGTCACCGACGGTCGTGCCGGCGGGGCGAAGCAAAAACTCATTACATATTTCTCCTTTACGTCCTGCACCCTAACTCCTAAGCCTACATGATCTGTAGTCAATATTTCCGATTTAATTTAATGCACATGCGTTCTGCACTATAGACACCCCACCAAAAAGAGGCACTTCCACTCAGAACCTTGAATTCCTGCCTGCGCGTCCATGTTCGACGTCTCTTTAGCTTCGAACTCCTGCTGGCAAGTGGGTTTGGATAGAGGTAGCTTCCAAACTTAGGGTCCCGGCGGGGTTCCCGGGTTCCCCAAAATACCACATGAGGTATAGTCTGAATTCCCAGTATCCCTCTTAATAACGCCTATAACATTCCCTTATATAACCCTCGATATAACACCCTTTAGGGAGTTTAGTCTATAGCTCATATGCCATACTTTGCGCGGCTTGTGATTCTGAGAGTTGTCTACGAGCCAACATGGCAGCTTACGGAGCCTCAAAGTTGACTCCCAACAAACTCTCACCCTTACCAAATGGGGGGTTCCTGCAGTTAGGGTTGCTTTTTAGGGGTCCCCAGAATCAGGATTAGAGAATCTTGGGTCTATGTTGGGGTCCCCCTATTTTGGGAAACTACCAAATACCTCTTCCGCGCGCAATGCACAAAAACCCTAAACCCTAAAACCTAAATCTAAAACTCTAAACCCTTTAAGGTTGCGGGTTTAGAAGACATGCAAAAGAAAATGGAAAGTACTATAACGTGTTATATAGGGAGTAGCACAGGGAACCGTTCCTTCATTCAGAAAAATCGCTCTAACGTAGCTTCTGAATGCCCTACGTGGTCTGGTTAGGATAGGACGTGCACAGTCCCAACTCCGAGCCCGAAGCCTTCCTTGTTTCCAAGGGAAGTATTAGCGTCTCACGAAGCTGTATTACCAAGAGTGCTCCTAAAATAAATTTGCGGGGCCCTTGAATTTGTGGCATTTTGGAGGGGGGGAGGGGGTGGTTCTGGAATGAGGATCCTCCACGTTGACCTTGCGCTAGTGGAGATTTGCTGGAAGAAGCTCCACATGTGTTGGGTCCAAGATAGCCCACAAAGTGGATTGTTGACATCCGCCCACCCATCGTGAGAAGTATTCCTCGTAAGAGACCTGATGTATTGGGACATATCTAATATAAGGGGTTAGGGGTGTTTAATATTAGTACGATGGGATTAAGGCTTGTCAGAATGATAGTTGTTCTGCCTAGAATGCCACTTATACCTGCCAGGTTACAGAGATCAAAAACGTGCGGCACTAAACCCGAACCTTTCCTCTGCAATGTCCACTGCCTCACCATCACGCAGAAAGCGCTATGCATGCTTGCGGAGCTCCGCCTCATACACCAGGACTGCGCTCCAAGTGGGAAACCGACCATCTGCTGCTTGGAAACCAGCAACCTTATCGCGGAGAACATGGTCAGAAAGCTTCTGAAAGGCATCAGTGCATCGCTCTGGCAGCCATGACCGCCTCCCATGCTTGCTCCGCACCATCTCCCAGGCCAAGCCAATGCGGCGATGCCGCATGCGAAGCACCTCTGGGTTGCAAGGAGGAGTGGTCATCGTCTTGCCGGGCTTGATGCGAAGCACTGCTGACACTGGGTCAATCACTGCAGAGTATGCCTCGGTGGCGGCATCTTCAACACTGGTGACATCGCGAAGATCTTCTGCCTGAGGGGAATTATCCTCGACCTGCTCCAACTTCTGGCCCAAGAGAGATTTGCTGGGGACTCCGGCATCGCTCAAGGCGCCATGTGACGTCTCGACTGCGGCTTTCATGAGGGCACGCCCTTTCGTCTGGACCAGACGCGCTGGCACCCCCAACTTGGGATCTGTTTTGTTCTTCTCATGCACTGACAGCTGGAGACGACACGCTTCCCACACGGCCAACAACAAGGCCATGCTTTGACGCGAGGCGGCATCCGCAGTGTAGTCAAGAGGAAGCAAGGTCTTCCACGCCGCCCGAACCTTGCATCTCCCTGAAGCACAACAGAAGAGGAGTTGCAGCAAGAAAATGAGGCGGACAGCCTCTGTTACAACAGAAGAAAAAATTCTCAAGCATGAATACCCCGGCCTAAAAACAGCACATACGTTCCAAGCACAAGGAGCGAAGCATGCCTACACTAGTTACAGTTGATCTTAGACTCCCAGTTTGCCGCCTCAGCAGCTTAGGCCTCCCAAGCCCGTCTGTCAGAGTGCTCCCAGCGCCTGAGCATGGAAGCATTGGCTGCTTGGTCAGTGGCATGGTTGAGAGCCCGCAAGAAGGCCGGGTCAAGTCCATGCCTGGGCAACCAAGTTGAGCAGCGGCCGTGCGCCGGCGTCCACACAAACTCCACGTTGACGCCCAGCTGGGCGAGCTGTTGTCGGTGTCGACTAGCCTCCATCAAAAGGAGGAGGTAGTCAAAGCAGCCGATGCCTTCCACCGCAGCAATGGCCGACTGGCAATCGACGAGCATGAAGACGCACCTGCATCTCCTCCGTGTCTGTGAGTGCGAGCTCTCGCAAGCAGTGGTCAAAGCCCTCAGTGCGTAGATGATGGCCAGGAGCTCCATGCGGTAAGGAGTCTGGTCCTCAGCATCGTCACTCGCAGCAAAGGTGTGGCGAGCGTTGTGGATGGTGATTCCAAAGCTGCCAACGTTGTCACGTGAGGAACCGTCCGTAGCAACGTAGAGCTCGGGCGCCGTAAGGTGCTCCACAACGCTGTCGGCAAGGTCGTCCTGGAAGTCCTGGAGGTCGATTGACGGCGGAGGGGGAGGCAACTGGCGAACCGGCCGAGCAAGCAGCCTTTCAGCAGCACGGTCTTCTGGTGGACAGATCTCCGCACGGCACGCAGCGAGGGACTCACACACCCATGCCAAGTGAGGTCGTGAAGGGGCTTTGCTTTGAGCACGCAACACTGCAAGACATGTGGCAATTAACACACAACCCTCGCTTGCAGACACATCGCACTCACAGGAACCTCCACCCTAAGCAAAGCAACACTCTAGATCCCACTGTACTGCACGCGCGCGTGCATCCCGCGTGCCTCGGAATAGCGTTGACGGCTGAGCTCTGGACTATTGAGGGGTTCATTGAGGGTGGCTGCCCCCGGCAGTAGACTGAACAAATCTCATTGCCGAAGCCGTACACCACAAACCCTAGGCCCTCAACCCCTCATCCCGTCAACCTGGTGTTTCTGCCTTTCAATTTAGGGTTCGGACAGAGCCCTGTGCCGAGCAAACGCCAGGGCTCCAGCTCCCTGCTCTCCAATAGGGTTTAGAGCTTAGAGAATCGCCAAGAATGAATCAAGACATCTTGTCCAAGAATCTGGATCACCCACTCCATGTCATGCTCAATTACAGGAATTCTCACAAGCCAGGACGCACAAAAAGAAAGCTGGTGCTCACCATCTCTCAAACGCCACACTGAAAACGAAGCCCGATTCACAACGGCCACACGGAAAACTTCAGCCTGCGACCCGTCATAAACGGGGATGGGTGTAGTGGGACAACTACACCGACCATACTGACTAGCTTACCGGGTAGCCTAACCCCTCCATCCTAAACCCTAAACCCCAGAACAATTTTCAAAACCAATCCAACGTTGAAATATTCCTACATAGGGGGAACCCAATATAGACCCCAATACACGATAATCCTACTCGCAAAATGGTCCCTCATTTCTGGAAATCCTAAAATTCTCACTCCCAACAACCCCTAGGACCCTAAATCCCAAACCCAAGGACCCTGCAGCCCAAAACCCTAAACCAGGCCCTAAAGCCCTACACCCCTGAACCCTAAGCCCTATTGGACAAAAGGCGCCTGGAGGCTGGTTCCGAGGCTTCCATCCTTCGCGGCTTTCCTCAGGCGGTCGCTTTGAACTCAGAATTCCCTAAAGGGTTTAGGGTTTAGGGTGGGATTATATGAAGGTAATAGGGGAATGGACAAGACAATGAAAAGCCCCGTATTATTTACGGTTCAAAGTTTTGCGGGCTGGGAGAAGCAAAAAAACACCACCTACGTAAGATAAATAACCCATATATTCCCACTACAGAACAATGGAATGTTGATTTAAAGGGGTGGTGTGTTTTTTGAGCGGGGAGTACTCAGATTTGCGGTTTTGGGTTTAAAGTTTAAGATTTGGGATGGGGTTCCAAAGGGTAGGGTCTTTTAAGCGCTTCTTTCTGCTTCAGGAGGGCTTGTGGTACTGGACATAGGACTAGGGAGTGGGGCGTACGGTTTAGGCGTTGGGGGATTGGGGTTGAAGGTTGTTATCCAGGGATTGACACACTGTTGCACGGGCCCAGAAGCCTTTACGTGTGCTTGCCATTAGGTGCAGGGCCCCTGGAAGAATGAAGGAGCTTGCTTGCCCCAAATCCAAAGATAAGGACGCTAAACGGCTGTCATAAGACTCTTCGTAAAGTCCACATTATCGGGAGTTGGGGTTTCCAAAATCTTCGCATCTTGGATGCTAGACCACAGAACCCAAAAATAAAGGCCTAAACTAAAACCCTAAAACACCAAACCCTAAACTAACAACCCTAAACCCTAAACGCCATACTCTGTGCATATGCCGGCTCCCATTCTCCAGCTATTGGCGTCCAAATATGTCTCGGCATGATGGCTCCCCTTGAGGTATAGTCACGATTAGACGTGTTTATCTCTATGTACTTGGGAGGTTTAGGGCTCAGGGGATGTAATTCTACTGAAATATAGAACTTTTGAATGGCACATGTACCTCTGCTCGTGAATTACAGGGCCCTGGTTCAAATCTTGGTGAGTTGCTGTAGGGCGTGGGGCATATCGGTCTCAAATTCAAGGCTTCCTTGACTGCTCCAAGACGACAACGGCCCCAACAGAAAACTGCACATGAGGATTCCCTGTATCAAGACTCTCAATGTGAGGTATCCGCCTCGGGAATAGGCAACAATACCACCCCCAAAAGCCATAATGCTATTGTACATACTTCGGCCCACAACCCATACAGCAAAACATGTTCATTTGCTTTGGCCCAAACCCCATAAAACAAGTTTTGGAACTTAGATTTTGCAGCGTTGAAGCGTCAACAAGAATTTAACTTGTATTTTGAACGGGTTGCTTGCCCAACCCTAATGGTGAAGATTTGAGGTTCAGGGCTTTAAGGTCTAATTGGGGCTTAGGCTGGTGGCTTTAAGGCTTAAACCCAAGCCTCAAAACGGTGTGTAATGAAAAGGTCCTCAAAAAGAACTCGGGGTATGGGACCATCCTATTTAAACTAATGAGGGGCGAGGGATCCTTTCGGAAGGGATCAGAGCAACTATGAGCTGAATTTGTTACCTTCAGATCCAGAAAATAGCTAGGCAAAATAAACCTTACTCTATCGGCACCCCCTAGTCAAACAGGGGGTCCAAAATTGTTTTTCTGAAAACACCCCTCCCCTACCGCAGACGAATCAGGATTCAACAGTACAGCCATCTGAGCGACACTCCACTGTTCTCCAAATAATTCATGGACATGTGTTCCTATTGGGGAAACATTAAGGACTAAGGCGACCCCATGTGCACCCGTAATGATTCCCGGGCAAGCCTAATACTCCTGTGATCCCTATAACCCCCAACATAATCCAAGTGTCCATTTCATTTTCCGTTTTCTTTTCCATTTAATTCTTCATTATTCCTACATTCCCCTATATAACGCCCTTGTAAAAGGGTCGGTAATATTGGTGGTGGCTCATCTAACCCAGGACCGTGCCGCCATGGAACCCTCAAACCTTCAGCTGAAGCCAGCGAATATTGAGAAGGGTTTAATGTTTACGGCGTCGGCTGTGCAAAAACCAAGCAGACAAAAAACTTGACCCCGATTAGTTTCCATTTTCTTTTCCATCATCTCAACACGACCCCAATATAACACCCTATAATCCCTATATACCCCCTATATAACCCATATATAACTCATATGTGGCTGGAACCAATGGGGTCTATTTAGAAGCTGTTTGCTCGCGTTTTGCAGTTGGACTTGTCTGAGCCACAGACGAGGTCAAATGGTCTAAAACTGCAATTCGCTGCGGCATGCGCGGCGCATGCCTGAGATTACGACTACTTGTGCTGAATAAACACAGTCTGCTGCTCGGGCAAGCGAGTGGGCCCGGAGGTCGCTAATTCAGGATCGCAAAGGACACTGCTCAGGGAGGCACCACTCTGGATTTGGTCCGGAGTTCTGAACAGACGGCCAAGGTCCGAGCATCCGGCGTGCTGCTTGCTATTCCGAGAGGACCATGTAGCTCCACAGTTGATACTGGGCTCCAGTTTAGGTTGATGGCTGCGAATTGCCTCTACCAGAGGCCCTTGGAGATTATGCAATCAAAGGCAAGGCTCTGCCACGATAGTCGAGGGAACAGCACAAGTCCCACGCCGAGCTTTGAGCACTTGGCCCAGGCATCGCTGGCAGAGTTACATATGATTTTTTGGATGACAGCTGCGCAAACATGCTCAAGCGACAAGAACGCCGAGTGAAGCGACAAGAACGCCGAGTGTGAAGGGCGTGCGAGGTAACTTTTCCTTCTTAGGAACTGGTGGGCCTGGGTGCTTTGCAGATGGGCGATTCTTAGCCCTCTGGCTTGTTTGCCCAACTGATTTTTGAACGCGAATAACATTCGGCTGGCAGAGAGTCTGGAGCAGCTTGCCCAAAGCTGTGCCTTGGCCGTTTGCGCGGTTCATTCCCCCTGAGTAGACTGCCGAAACTGCTGCCACGGCCTCGAGAAATTCAACGACAGTGTACCAAGGAGTCGTTGGGCTCATCCGAGTCAAAATCCCAGAGCCTTCCTCTCGAGTCATTTTCTGTTCAACCATCATCTGCTTGACTCGCGTATTCCTAAGTGAATTTGCAGGGGCTGCCAGTGTAGGCCGGGACCCGCGTTGCCAAGGAAGACTCAGAGTCAAAGGCCGCAAACTTAGCCATAATGACCCGCAGCCATTTGCACCCATTCGTGTTCTGGTTGCTGTGGCACTGCTGGTACATATGCAGATGTGCGTGGCGTCCAAAGACAAGCTTTGCAAGCGCGGAAGACCCTTCTGCAAGGTACGAAAAAGTGCTAGGCCAGGAGAATCTGAGGCCACATGGATTGTTTGAGAGCGCTGTTCTTCAGTCATTCGCGCCTGCAAGACCTCAGCAATGTGGTAGCCAGCCTCGGACTTGATACCTTGGATGGCCAGAACTGCCCCGGTGCGTCCACGCACCGTGAGAAGCCGGCACACTGCATTCACTGCATCCTCTTCCGGCACAGCGGAGTTTTCGCGGACGGCTTGCGAGTGTCGGTAGGTCGCCATGCCTACAACTTTGAAAAGGCACTGCTGAAAGGGGCCCTGGGCATTTAATGTATTCAAACTGTTTAAATTGACTAAAATATTTAATTGTAACCCCAAAATCCACTGAAGCCCAACACTGGGTCTATTTGGAAGCCACTGCTGGCGCTCCTGGCGCACAAGAACAGCCGCCAAAAAGACCCGGGAAGCTCCACACACGTAACCCCTACATTACCTCTATAAACCCCAACCCTAAACATTAAACCCTAAACCCTAAACCCCAATATAACCGCTATATTACCCCTGTATGCCACAAAACGCTTGAAAGCCCTATATGGCCTTGGTATACCATCATATAAGATTTTAAGGGTTTAAGGTTGAGGGTTAAGCCCCTAAAGCCCTGAACCCCTAAACCCCTGAACCCTTCAATGCCTGGTTAAAGAGTACACATCAACTGCATCTTGAAACGAGATGCAACAGCGAGGAGACAACTCTCCGCTTGTATCCCTTTGCTTTGGGCTTGGCCTTCCGCGTCTAAGGGCCAGCAATTCAAACGTCATCGAGGGCTTGGGGTCAAAGGTTCACAGGGGTTGAGGTTCAAGGTTTTTGGTGGGGGCAGGGGGGGTGTTTGGGGAGCTTAGGGTTGTTTAGCTTTGAAGGGTTAGCGGGCTGTTGGTGAACAACTTGCAGGTTTGGAATCGCGGGCTACCGCTATTACAAGGCTTTAGGGAGGTGCTATATGGGGGCTTCTGAAAGTTGGGCTACCCGAAGCTGGCCCTCAACCCTAAGCACTCCCTTCGGGACCCTAGGGATGTCTGGGGACTATAAAGGAAACAATCAGGCCACTGCTTGGCAGTATCTAGTCATCGTGAGAAGCTCCTGTGTGTAGATCAACAGTAGCTTCCATTTTCTTTTCCATTATCCCTATAATATGTACCCCTATATAATCCCTATATAACCTGCTAGTATCCCCCCCTAATAACTCCAATAATACTACCCTATACTACTACCCTATATACTCTTCTTTTAAGGAGTTCAGACCCTAGACCCTATAAACCCTTAATCCCCTACATAACCCCCCTTAACGAGTTTAGACTATAGCTCATACAATCCCTATATCACCCAATACATAACAGTCTCCATTTCATTTTCCATGTTCTTTCCCATTTGGTTCTCCATCATTGGGGTACATATAACCCCCTTAGACTATAGCTTCAAACCCTAAATCCTAAACCCTGAACCCTAAACCCTAAACCCAGCCTCGAGAGCTGCGCTTGAAGGTGTGTCCGTCTGCTCTTCACCCGGCGCACTGTTCGTAGGCGAAGCCTTCTCTGGGTTGCTATTTAGGAACCTATTTTCAGTTACCATAATGGGTGTGTGTATATATATATATAGTAAATAATAAGGTTTCCCCAATATAGTAACTAAAACTAAGTTCCTAAGCCTTAATCCCTAAACCCTTATCCCTAAACCCTATATCTAACTTAAATTAAGCTCCTTAACAGCAACCCAGCTCTTCAAGGCCATCCACTTGGCTTACCTGTGGGAAATGAAGTTCTGCTCAGGCTCAATCATTCAGCCCTGGTGCTACATGTATATGTTTATAAATGTGTATATACATATAAACAATATGGTATAATATGTTTAGGGTTTAGGGTGCAGGGTTTAGGGTTTAGGGTTTGATATTCCAACACCCTGTAATTAATTGTAGATCCCCTCATGGCAGCTTAACTTGAGCTCCTATATACTCCCTATATCTACCCAGTATCCATGACATCTGCCATGTCATTCTTCATTGCGGCAAGAATCAACCCTATATAGCTCGCACGTAGCCTCCACGTAAGCTACAGTCTAAAATGCTAATCACCCCTATAGTATCTCCCTACATAGTCCCCTATGTAACCCCACTTAAGGAGTTTAGACCATAGCTCATATACACCCCCAAAAATTGATCTCAGGGTCCAAGTACCCAAAAAACATATACTTACCCAAAACCTGTAATATAATCACCATTACCCAAACCCCACGTACCAAATTATTTGGTACTTGGACCCTAAACCCTAAAGCCCTAAACCCTATATACCCCTATATATCCCCCTTTAAAGGGACCAAATTATTGGGTACTTGGACCCTTAGGGGATGGAAACACACTGGAGACCTCGCCTCCTCTGCGATCTCGGCAGCTGGGCTAGGCGCCGTCGGGGACTCAGCAGGTTTTGGCGTCTCCTTCCGCAGAAGCAGTGACTTCGGGTTTAGGGTTTAGTCTGCTACTTGTGCTGAGTTTCTGCTTTGTCTGTCCTACTTGGCTTTGCAATTCTTTTCTTTTCGCCTGTTTGATGTATGATTAGGTACCAAATGCCTTACGATGTAAGGCAGTTGCAGCTCTTCCTATCCTCAGCTGGGAGTTTCCAGCGTTTGACAGGCATCAGAATACAAGTGAGATTGCAATTGTTGCGCATCTTGCTTGACTGCTGCAGCTACCAATGATCTACGAGCAGGTTCTAAATACAACTCCTACTATTGTTGGTGCCGTCAGTGAGCTCCCTGGGTAGACCCTAACGCCTCAACCCTACCCTAAACCTAGGCGGGTGGTGCCCTAAACCCCAAACCCTAGACCCTAGACCCTAAACCCTAAGCCCTGAACCCTAAGCCCTAAGCCCTAAACCCTAAACCCTAAACCCTAAACTCTAGCCTTCTCCACAGCAGCGGGCCCCAGAACAGTGCCGTTCGCGACTGGCTGCGTGGGCTCGGGCGCCTTGCAGCTTGGAAGGTTGAAGCCGGCAGCCTTTTGGGGGGGGCAGAGTCCTATTATCATTATTATCATTATTATCATTATTAATATCTTTATCAGCGCGATTACGATTATCATTATCAATTATTATCATTATCACTATTACTACTAGTACTGTTATTACTATTAATATTCTTATTATTACTACTGTTATCCTTTCAAATTAAAGGCGGTTTCTATGGGATTCGGGTTAATGCTAAACATGTAGGGTCGAGGGCTCACTGGCACCTAACAGCATACTTATACAAGATGAGTGCTCCGAGTGAGGCAAGCGCAAACCCTGCATAACACTTTTCGTGTTCCTTTCCATTCCTTCGCTCCCTTAACCATCTGCAAGCTATAGCGGAAAGTCTTGATCCCCTCGCTCCTTATGAATCTCCACAACCCTAGTGATAGATTTTCCCCTGCTTCAAAGGTGCTACATCGGGAATATGTATACATATATATATATAAGTACAAATATATATATATGTATATATACAGATATGTAGATGATCAGGGGGGGTGTTAGTAAGGGATTGTGGCTTCCGCAAGCAACTGGATCATGGTTGGTGTAGGGTTGAGGAGTTGAGGCAGTCACGAACACGACGCACCTAACAGCCAACTTAAGGCCCCAATAAGTGCTCTCCAAGTCTGGGGTTTTAGGAGTTTAGGGTTTAGGGTTTGGGGTTTAGGGTTTAGGGTTTTAGGGGTTGAGGGGTTTAGGGTTTTAGGGTTTAGGGTTTAGGGTACTTCCCCGTGGGAATCTCGTTTGCACTGTGAACCTTGAACCCCAAAACCTCAGGGCTGGACACCAAGCCCCAAACCTCCAAGCCCCCAATCCTGAAAGCCGAGACCCCTGAACTGTAGACCCTGAACCCTGAAACTCTGAAACCCTTCAACCCTAGTCTCTTGAACCCCATCTCTAGACCTCTGTGGCACCAATCCTTACACCAGCACACCCTGAATCCTTACGTCTACTCGGGATCAAAGGGTCATATTCCTTTGTAGGTCTTTTGGGGGAAACCCCTAGGGCCTGAACTCCTCAACCCCCACAGCCCTCAACTCTAAATCCCCAAGCCCTGAACCAACATCCTGTAGCTTACAGGTTCTTTGCATAATCCCTTATTCCCTACTGACCCCCAGTAAGGTAGTCAAGTCCCCTGGCCCTGCGCCCCTAAACCCTAAACCCTAAACCCCTAAACCGCCTTCAGCACGATGCCCTGCATCGGCGCAGCATTCGCTGACGACTCAGCAGGTGGCGACGGCTCTGGGGCCTGGCAGAGGCCAAGGAATGGAAAAGAAACTAAGGGTTTAGGGTTTAGGGTTGAGGACCTGAGCCAAAATCCCCAAGTAGTTACCTATACCCCTTGAAGGGCCTAGGGCTAGGGTTTAGGGTTTAGGGAAACTACCTGGACCCCAAAAGTATGTAAAATAATGGCCTTCCTGGCTGTTATTATGGGTTGAGGGCCATTATTTTACATACTTTTGGGGGTTAAGGTACTAAGTAAGGGACTTAGGATTTCGGGTCTACGGTTTAGGTGGGGTCTAGGATGTCGTAGGAATATGATAGGTATTCCTGTCATGTCCCTACTCTATTCTTGGGGTTCCTGACTTGGGAACCCCTCTTTGCGTAGGGGACTACCCTAAATCCTAAACCATAAACACGAAACCCTGAGCCCTAAACTTGAGGGCTTGGGGTTTAGGATGCAACAAATCTTTCGCGGACCTCCGGCCAGTGGATCTGCAGGACTGGGGAGAAATCTCTATCTTTAGAGTAAACCCTAAACCCTAAACCCGGTTTACTCCGTTGTACCATTTCGCAAAAGCAACCCTTCCCCTAACTTTCAGCCTTCCCATCCCACTCATACATAATGCTCTCCCCATTTTGTAACCGCTGTGGTATTAGCAGTACTGAGTACCTATCACGAGCGGGCGGGGGATGTTTAATGTTGGGGGGGCGGGGTTCTGTTGCGGAGTTGCGGGATGATTTTGCTATTGCTTCCTTCCCAACTTTTCAACAGAAACGTACTTGCCACTGTGGGAAAATCTTACTCCCCATCCCTCTTATAAACCCCCCACGCCCCATATACTCGATGTTGGCCTTTTTTTTAATACTCGTGCTACATATCGAGTATGCCTGAAGGGGCCGGGGGGGCGGTTTTATTCAGTGAGTGGCTCAGGCAAGCAACTGGATCATGGTTAACTTGGGTTGCCGTTAAGGAACTTAAATTAAGTTACTATATTGGGGAAACCCTATTATTTACTATATATACCCATTATGGTAACTTAATTTAAGATCCTTAACAGCAACCCAGTTAAAGCAGTCACGAACGCGAAGCACCTAAGGGCCAAGATGAGGCCCCAGTAGTTGCAGAACATGGATTTGCACCCCTGACTTCTCCTTCAGAATGGATTTAGGGTTTGAGTTTCAAGGTTTAGGGTT